AATAGAACATTGAATTGTAATTATATAGGCAAAAAAAAAATTGAATAGGAGTTATCTTCCTTTGTTGATGATTGTTCATTTGTAGTTGAGTCTATTTTTATAACAGATTCATACACCATGAATTACTTATGTAATTTTCAATAAAGAAAAGTTTTCTTGACAAGTATGACAATTCAAATACACATCATATTGTAACTTGAATATCTAAGTATAACATATCATTAATAAATTGTATGACATTGACTGGATAGGATCTTAAGAATGATCACTTCACTGCACTATTTTGTTTGAACTATCAAAGGTAGTGATAAACCTTGGAAGATTCAGGTAGCCAGTCAGTACCATTGGGTTTTAAGCCGAACATACATTAAACTTATAAAAAGAAAAGGAAATCAAAACACGCTTCTGATGTCAAACTCTTTGAGAAACTGAGGCAGATAGTTCAAAGAACTTGAAATCAAGGCAATATAATAGAAATATAGAGAACATGATAACTTCAAAGATTAAACAGACAATAAGACTCTGGACATACATCAAACATATGAAAAGTGATACAAGAAAAAGTAATAACAGTGCATGAAAAGAAATGTGAAATAAGAAATTGGTCCATAAGTATATTGTATGTAAATATGGGGTCAAATCCATCACAAAACGATCAAATTAAGTCTTATTCCCTGTAAGTTCCATCAGTTATCCAGTCTTTAGTTCTCTGAGTAGTGTTTTGTGAACATGTTTGACTTTTCGTAGTCTCGTTTTTGCCATGGCGTTGTCAGTCCCCCCCCCCCCTCCCCCCCATTTATGAGTTTTGAATGTTCCCATGGTATCTTCCGCCTCGTTTTTAAAGTGATTTCTACTCAAAAACATTCTCATGACGTATCCACCAGAACAATATAATTAAAAGCAACGGAGTGAAACAGTTGGCAGAAAATCTCATAAGCCTAATATCTTTGATGATTTTTTATTCGACACATAGCTATTGGACCAGATGACATCAAACAAATACCATAAGAATTCGCCAGATAAATTTCTATTCTCCGATCCTAAGTATTTCAATGAACTCAGATAACATACAAAACAGTAGGCGAACTGTAAACGGAAATAAGGCCTACAAGAAATGTCTATTAAACATACTAGCAAAGCATATGTTGTAAATTAATAGCACATATAGTGACCAGTTACATCATAAAACATGCAGAAAACAAGAATGTGTCCATAGTACACGGATGCCCCACTCGCACTATCATTTTCTATGTTCAGTGGACCATGAAATTGGGGTCAAAACTCTAATTTGGCATTAAAATTAGAAAGATCATATCATAGGGAACATGTGTACTAAGTTTCAAGTTGATTAGAATTCAACTTCAGCAAAAACTACCTTGACCAAAAACTTTAACCTGAAGCGGGACGGACGAACGCACAGACCAGAAAATATAATGCCCCTTATACTATCGTAGGTGGGGCATAAAACAATATATACTTTAATATACTAGTAATGCATTGATACATTTTTTTTGCAATATCACAATATGGAAACGGAAATGTAAAAGACCTGCTTATTCTATATTGTTCAGAAGATGTTGATAAGGTATTCCATATCTCCATATGTATAAGAAGTAAGACAAACAAATGGCTTCATTAATTAAGACACATAGTGGTTGTCGAAGGTGAAACGCCAGATAGAGTGAAGGCAGAGTAAATGTATCTGGAGTGCCATAGGGATCAGTCTGAGAACAGTTTATTCCTTTTCTATATAGATATAAGATGTGGTATGAGTGCCAATCAGACAACTCTCCATCCAAGTATATGACCATTTCCATTAGAAAATCAAGTTCAACCCTTAGAATTGAAACATCCGTGCAGTCACGAGAAAAAAATTCAATTAATCGGAGTTACATTATGAACACTAAATACTTGGACCACCCATCGCAAGTGACCTAGATTTGGGAGAAAACATAAGCAATTCCTCATGTAAAGCTAGTCGAAACCTTGGTTTCAAACATCGAGACCTTCATATTAGCTTCAAGTCCATTGAAGAGCATGCATTTAAAACAGAACATAACACACAAAATATGTTATGACAGTATGGAACCTTTGACCGCAATATTACATCGAAAAGGAGAAAAGACTAAGACGAACTGCACGTTGTGTTATAACAGACATTGAAATAGAACAAACTTCAGTAACATAAGGGTTTACAACCAATGCGTAGATAAGCTAATCATAATGTCCTACAAAATAACAAATGACCACTGTGACGTGCTTGCAACAAGAATTTATCTCTACAAAAGTCAACCAGAAGCTACAATCGAACAGGACATCAACCCTACAAACAACAGCCAGCCACTAAAATGTAGGAAATTTTTATTTTCTTTAATGCTGTCATAGGCTTGAACAAACTGACAATGGTTATCGCCACAAAGAGCAAAGTCACTAGATATGTTCCGGTCTCAAATGGCCAACAATACTGCTTAATCATAAACAATGTTACTTATAACCAGTATATTAATCATGCACAACTAAAATCGAAGCAGTAAATCGAAGAACACATAAAGGATAAATGAATCAAACGTGTTAAAATGGAACCCGAGAATTAAAATCTATGGCATCTTATTTAAGAGGTAATATATAATAAATCAAAATTATGGAAAGAGGGGTCAATTTACTTGTTTTTTAGATAGATCAATAAGAAAATTAGAGTGGAAAAAATGACTCCGGATTTAAGAATAAATACCAGAACATTATTTGAGGTGTTTTAAGTTAAAAAAAAAAGAAATATAGGGATTGGTGTACAAATGCTTAGTAAAAAATAAAATAATCAGTATAAGTTGAAAAAGTGAGAACCTATTAACATCTTGAGGAGTTGCGGATACAACATGAAAATATTGCGTGAACACTTTATAAATTCCATGCGTCCAATGGATATACCTTCAAGATGTCTAATCCGATTGTAGAATGATATATGAATAAAAGAAAATTTGGGATAAGCGTCAACGAAACAGCAAATCAACAACACAAGAAACCAAAACATGTCTATAGGTTAACACATAGTTTACAGCAATAGATCTAGATTGTCAGAGTCTAGAAACGTTTTGAATAAATTCAACTGAGACTGTTAAAAATCTTTACCGGTAATCAAATCCGAATTAAAGAAATGACTAAAAACACTAGAATATAACATTTGTGAGTTGAATGAAAAGTAGTTTCAAAGCCTCAGGAAGGTATCCAGAAACCTTTGTCATCATTTGGTCTAAAGTGCACCTAATAAGGGCTATTCTCAAAGCATGTTTGCTGACCAATAAAATTGGTACCATATGTTTTATCAACCTTTGTGCCTCATAATAATGTGGCAGTCAGCAAATGGTATGTCAGGATTATCTTAAAACCATACCACAACCTCCATTGACAAATATCTGTTGTTACCATTGTTTCTCAAAGGCTAGTTTGTGACGAACGAACAATGTAAGACCACATCAGATATGTTGTGTTTCTTACAAAGAACCCTGCTGTTTCATTTGTATGACATCATAGATGCTCTGCAGACCCAACACCACTTCAGAGTAATAAATTGTAAAAGATAGATCAAACCGTTTATAGACTAATAATGTTGCATTTGACTCTATTTTTGAGCAACAGACATCCATATTTTTTTTATTTAAGTTGAGGTCCCCATGGCTCTTCAATTTCATACTTCATTTGGCCTTTACTTTTTTTATTCGAGCGCCATTGATGAGTCTTTTGTAGACGAAACTCCCGTTTGATGTACAAAATTTTAAGCTTGGAATCTTTGATCGAGTTTTTTACAACCACTGGGTCGTTGTCATTGTCGATGGAGGTTTCCTCCCCGAGGATATCACCAGCCCAGTAATCAGTACTTCTGTGTTCATATGAATAATCGTTTAAATAGTCATATTTATAAATTAACTATTAAAAAATTGTTGGTTTGTTAGAAACACAAAGGATTTTCTACCCCAGGAATAGATTACCTTAGCTGTAACCGTTCAGAATTTTGGGTCATCAATGCTAGTCAACTTTGGTGCTGTATTTCACCTTTTTTGTTTGTTTGAGCATCATTGATCATGTCTTTTGTAGACGAAACTTGCTTTTGGCATTCAAAATAATAGCCCGGTATTTTTGATGAGGTTTTTTTTTCATTTACCGAAATAAGTACAAATGTACAAATGTAAGATAGCTTTACAATTTTTGAGATTACTGAGCAGTCACATCAAGAAAGTAGACTAATAAAAACTTGTTCTTCTCCTGTTCATGCTTAACATATCTGTATCCATACAAGTCTCCTCCTAAGAAGAATGTTTTGAAGATTTAAACCAGAGACATTCTTTCTGACTATAAATATGTATACTCCAGTAGTAAAAATAATAGGTTTTTTTTTATAACAAAAGCATTGTTTTATAGTTTAATAATTAGCATGTTCATGAAGTACTATGTTTTGCATAGAGTACAATTCTTTTTGAGTTCAAATTTTTGGAATTTGTAATATTCAGTGTCCATTTTGAGATGAAGATACCAGTGGAACAAAAAATAACAAACTGTACACAAATAACATATATATTCTCACATGAAACCAAAAACAGTAGCTGGAAGTTACTCAATTTTCTGCAGATGAAAACAATTGTGCAAGTTACTTGCAGAAAACTATAATTATACATTATCAAATGTCCATATACATCACACAACCTTATATTCCTTATATTCATTTCAGTTATCAATGATTATTTATTTTTCATTTTGTTCATTATCAATTACAGAATAAATATAAATAAGAAGATGTCGTATGAGTGCCAATGAGACAACTCTCCATCCAAGTCACAATGTATAAAAAGTAAAGCATCATTGTTTAGGTTATTAAGATTGATAATAATAAAAAAATATTCCATTAAATAAAACAGATAAGTTTTGATGTCAACATAAAATAGCTGTTATCTGGTAAGAGAATTAACTGACAGAAAGTCGTCCTTTTCTATCAATATTTAATCGTTCTGTCAATGCAGTATTCAAGGAAAATATCCATACCATAACAAAGAAGGAGTGACTTAATTAAAATGGTATGAACAATTTGTCCAACCTGGTATCATCATTTGGATTTTGTTCAAACAAGGAAGAGATAGGTGAGTCACTTTTTTTAGATGCTGAATGTATCAATAAGGTTATTATATCACATTTATGACACAAGTACAACGAACTGAATCTGAAAATCATTACAAGGTATAGCATGTTCACATGAAGTTTGATAACAAATTTCTGGAAGCTCTGTTAGCCACCCTCCTTTGTTTTTCCCTACTGTTTTAGGCTACTTTGTATCCTCAACAATAATGGGCCTATTCCAATTTAACCTTGAGTACCATTTGCAATATGACTCTCTTATTTCATCTTTTGATCTGAAACTTTTGAGATTTTTCAATTGCATTTTTATATACAAATGAAGAGACCACTATAATAACATTAACGGTAACAATATTACTGCACCAAATGCACATTTCAACAATTTATGTCTCTTCAATGATGTACAAGGCAAAAATATTTAAAAATCCACTTTATCATTATTTATACCAGGTATTCAAAACTACTGAAACCTGGAATAAATAATAATAACGAATAAAGTGGAAATGTAAATATAATAAGGAAAGCAATCAATTCATAGTTTATTACATTCTTAAATTAATCATCAACTTCAATGTTGAAAATTTAGCTTACTAACAACAGAAATCAGATTTCTTTCCATCTATTTTGTCCTCAACCTTTCAAATTTAGATCACAAAAAATATATAAAATGATAGAGTATGAAAATATGAATGTGTAAATATGGCCTTTATCATGTTACCCATATTTACATTATAACTTTTATATATACTATTGTTTACTACAAATATATCACAGTCATTTCGCTGTAAATGTAGGTATCATAAACACATAAATGTAACTTTTTTTGGTTACCAGTGAAAAACAGTCTCCTAAAAGAATCAATTAATCCATAACCTGGTCTAAATACTTGTAGGAAACTTTCCATGAACGTGTGTCATAATACATTCAAAAAGAAACATTCCAAATCACTTAATGATATTATTGACTGATAATGAATACAAAAAAAACAACCCTGGTTATGACTAGATAATTTTACAATACATATTCATTTTAGAGAAAAGGGGTTCATGAAATCACTATCAATAGTATATTAATGGAAAAAAAGATGATGATGGTGGTTTTTAACTACCTTGACTACCCGTGAGGTTCTTGCATGGAAAAAAGTGCTTGTATGACATGAATATAACCCTGCTTTAAGAAAACTATTTGAAAAGTTTACACTTGGATCTAAATGGAGATCTTCAGATGAGCTGGCAATAAAGTGTGGGTCATAATGATCTAAATGTTCTACATATGGATTTTACATTGTAATAAAATCTTGGTGGAAAGATTTGTGTAATACCACCTGACAGGAATGGGAAAAACAGGCATGGCAAGCATAAATGTGGCAACCAAAATCTAGTTATATAAAATTTAAGACAACTGAAGCAGTGAAATATCTTTGTTATAACACTTTGGGTTTCTGAGATATACATCTTTATGTGACATTTAATCAAAATAACTCAAGTATGAAATATAGGTTTAAATAGTAATATCTTAATTGATATTATTTTTAACTAGAAGAAATTTGAGAAGGAATCAAAAAGGAAAAACTATTATGAGAGTCAATTCAACTGTTCCATACCAAAATAAGTGAAACCATATTTTTGCCCCTTAAAGCAAATGGTTTTGAAAGAATTGGGCAAAGAGTACATGAATTTTCACTTGCGACAGTAAACAATGGCCGATGATTTAAATTACTTCTCATACACAGGCAAATTTTGTTCACGTAAATTTCACGTGAAAATCACGTTAGTCAGATCATGTGAAATTCACGTGAGTCAAATCATGTGAATTTCATGTGAGTGAGATCACGTGAATTTCACGTGAAAAAAAGTTTATATGAAATTCACATGAATTTTACACGAGTTTCATGTTAACAAGTTCACCTTAAATTCACGTTAGTCAGATCATGCGAGTTTCACATGAATTTCACATGAATTTAATGTGACTTTCACGTGAAATGAGACTCACGTGAAATTCACGTGAACAAAATTTGCCTGTGTAAGTTAATTAACAAGAATAACTATAAATAAATAGATAAACAGATATGTTTTATGTTTCAACATTAATAATTGACTTTATGAGTATCAAACAAGAAAATCTAATTACAATTTGTAAGATCATTTTTATGATTTTCCTGATCCCCCTGATTTTCCTGATTTTACCGACTTTGTTAAGATCGAAGCACCTTTTAAGTCTGTGACATCTGTAATGGCTGTTTTACAAAAGAAACACTCTTTCTTGCTCATCATTTGGTGACTTATACAGTTCCTACAAGACTGGTGCCCACATGGAACAAACATTACTGACATCTGATCAGAGTAACAGATGGTACACAAGTCATCTTCTTTCACATGCTGTAACAAATAAAAAAAAATATTGTTTCTTGGATAAATATTTTATTCTTATGAGAATAATTTTTTTTAAATTTGTCCATTCATTTGTAACCATCAACATATATAAGGGTTGAATTTTTGGTCAGGGGTGTGTAATGACTTCAGAGTATAATATTTCTGCAATTGTCTGCCGAGTTTACCAAGGTATATTATTTCTTCTTTGATTAAAAACAAAAAAATAATTCCATTCTAAACAGTCTCCATCCAAAGATTTTTGATAAAAAATATGTTATCATGAAAATCTACTTTTAAAGATGTTTAAAATATAACTTTAAACAAGATGTGAAATTACAGCACAAGAAAACAAACGAATATAAATGTGACCTACTCTAATCTTGTATATAACTCATTGAAGTTTAAAGGACACATGTGTCCATGGATTTATCAATCATCTGGCATAGGATGTTGGTGATGAAATGACATAGGGATAAAACAAATACTGGACAAAAGGATTCACCCTAGAAGTCGGAACCAGTACAATATACATACATGTTGTGTGAATTCTGTATTTTCATTCAATTTCAGATATTTTGTAAGATCTTCCACATCTGTTTTTTCTTCTGGCAAGATATCTTGATCTGTATATAAAAGAAAAAAGTTAGTCTTTACATTCAAATGCTGTACATTCAGAAATTATTTTTAGGTTTTTATTAATGCGAATAATGTGACTGGGTGAGTATTGCAATAATAGGATCCTACAGTCTGATATCTGATACATATTCTGTATGCAGATTTTGCTGAAATAGTAATAAGTTATCCCAAATTTTAGTCCATTCTTCGAAAATCGCAATAATTAATGTTTGCAATAATTTCTAAATTTACTGGACCAAAACAAATTCAACGTATTTATAAAGTTTCAATTAAAATTTCTTTTAAGATGTTTATCATGTTATGGAGAAGGCTTTAAACAATCTAAAGAAGTGATAAATGTTAACAACTATAAACATTACAATATATCCTAACGGTTACGCAGACTGTACGATTTGTCCTCATTTTTTTTAATTTTAAAAGTTTTGCCTTTTGAAAGAACAGCCAGGTTTATTTTAATCTCAATCTGTTGGCTCAGAATTAGTATAACTACTCCAGGTTGAGTTTTATATATTGTTGTTACCCTGTAGCTTGTTCTGACTTAAGTCATTCTAGTGCAAAGTAGGGCATCTTCATATCTCATCAATATATTTTAGTCCTGAATATGCATTTAATATTTGCAGGAGAATAAGCAGCCATCCGTCAATCTATCAATCAATCCTATTCTAAAAGATTCGTTTATGGGTCATGTTAGGCCTTTCATAGATTACTTAACAGTATGGGTTTTGATCATTGTTGAAGGCTGTAAGTGATTTATAGTTGCTTACATCCACATCAATTGGTCTCTGATGATATTTTGTGTCATTGCCATTCATACCTTAATTCCTTATCTTTATATTGAGATTGATTTTTTGGTGTGAATGCTGACTATAAAATCTACAATGCCCTAACTTACCATTTTTTGTATCTGATGATAATTTCCCTACAAGGTATTCTAGAGAATGTACTTTAAATCCAGGATCTGATATCAGGTATCTCAACACTGCTTGTTTGCTGTAATAATTAAACTTTATTATTATACTGTAACCAATAACAACAGGCTGACTTGCACCTGTTCCTAAACAAGAAAATGTCTTAAATGTAACTACTCTTTGGCAAACTGTCAAAACATTCAAAATATTTTATAGAATAAACATATAAATGTATAGTTATGAGAAATTATTATCCTACATCCTGTCCATACTGTTTACTTATAATTTTGCATTGCACAAGGTCATGCGTTTCTCAGACTGTTTATGACGTCTTTACAATAAATCCTTTAGATGTGTACTTTTTGATACTTTAGTCTAGGAGAACTTGATTTATTTATAAATTGTAATTGGCTTTGAACTAGCTTTCAGTAACTGCAAGTACTCTTATTTTGGTGCTTTGTGTCTAATGTTTTCATGTTAGTTGTTTTTGTGCCTTGTACCGATCTTTTGAGTTAAGCCAATTGTGACTGATTTTTACAGTTTGTTCTTATATTGTGCTGTTACACCACTGTCCCAGGTTAGGAGAGGGTTAAGCACTCACAAATATGTTTAACCCTTCCACATTCTTTATGTGTCTGCTCCAAGTCTGGACCATGTAGTTCAGTGGTTGTCATTGGTTTATGTCTGTCATACATATCTTTTTTATAAAATAGGCCGTTAGTTTTCTTGTTTGAATTGTTTCACATATTTTCATGTTGGGCCTTTTATAGCCGACTATATGGTATGGGTTTTTCTCATTGTTGAAGGAAGTACAGTTGCCTATAATTGCTTACATCCACTTCATTCCACAATCATACCACATCTCCTTATTTTTATAAACCAATTGATGACACAAGTTCATGGCTACATGTGGGTGACTTTTGGCTCTTGCTCTTAGTGTGTTGGGTTGACCTTAACACATTTTATTCATATACAATCAGATAGAAGTTAAAGAGCTATTCTTTATGCTCAAGCCACAATTGTGGTGAGCATAATAACTAGTTTGTATGTACATATTTGGCAAAATTTAAAAAAAAATAAACACCAAGCAGTGCTTAAGAAGTTAAATTGTGCTTTTATTAAAAATAATGCTAACACAGCATCATCTTTTGATAAAAATTATTACATTATTGTTTTATAAAAAATGTTTAATAATGTAAAGTATGATCTCTTTTGCAATTTCTATACAAAAAATATTACAAAAAAATTGAGAATGGAAATGGGGAATGTGTCAAAGAGACAACAACCTGACCAAAGAGCAGAAAACAGCCCAAGGCCACCATTGGGTCTTCAACACAGCCAAGTATGACGATGAAACAATACCTTTCAGTACTTGATTTAATGACTAACTGTATAAGTATACCAATCATAGCTCCAGCTATAGGGAAGTAGGAAACATTTGGCAACCCTGAAATAAGAAAAATATCTATAATTAGATCTATTGAAAATTTTATTATGCTTCAAAAATAATACATGTCTTTTGCCTTATACATATATGTCAACACTGATGTTCAAATTAAAACATTTGAAATATCCAAGAAACGTCAACTGCAATTTCTCAAAGTTGTTGCCAATAGCTTTGACCATTAACCGTGGATTTCAGTGTAGGTGTCGTCCAATCAAAAGCAATGTTACATGTCATATTACATTGGAATTTTTATAAATATTGAAAAAGTCCCTCTAAAAACAGGTAATAAACTCTTTATGCTCAAGACTTCAGGATATTTTTGGAAACAATGCCAAGTTAACTTTTAATCTGATCCTACCTTGAATAAATAATGAAACAACACCTTCAAATATTCCATTCCTGGCTGTTATTCTGTTAAGTATTTGGCACAATACCTGTAATAAAAATATCATTACTTCAAACAGATTCCACAAAAATGATTTTTAATCAACTAGACAAAAGCATAATGGCTGACAAAGTTATATACATTTTACATGAAAAGAAATTTTCTAAATGGAAAAAATAACTTGATATATTCTTTTGGGCAACTTAATACAAATTGTAATTGTAATAGTCCTTTGTCTGTACCAAGTCAGCAATATGACAGTTGTTTTCCATTCGTTCCTTTGGTTGATGTAGTCTAAAGTAAGATTTGATCAGGTTTTATGAACCTCCCTTTTTTTCAATTTACCTTGGAGTTTGGTATTTTTTATTAGAAAAGTGTGAATGTGTGAGTTTTCCATGGAAGAAGTTTGTTATTTGTCATCTCCAAATTATATAAGCTGAAAAGTTCATGTTTTCATAACAACAAGGGTGAAAGACAACAAACCAACCTTTTTGTCGCTAGCAACTGCTGAATGCTTTCAGTTGACACAAAGACTGACTATTTTTTAAGGATTTTAAAAAATATTTCAATAAAATAAACAGGGTGTGATTAGAGAATTCTTTTTTTGACTAATTCTTCCCTAAAATTTGTGTTTTTTCAATTTTGATTTCTCTTTTTATGTCTGTACTAATTATAACAAAGAAAAGCAGCACTCCAGACCCTATCACATAACTATTAAAGAGATGATAATGCCAAAAAAAGTGATGGTTTATTTGTAAGTAAAAAAGATTCTGAACAACTTTAAATAGCTCACATACTTAACCATTTGTTTGCCTTGTGTACAGTCTGGAATCATAAACCCAATAATTCCTCAAATCACATGAATGTAATCAATACATACAACACTTCATAGTAACTAATAGTATAAGACTATTGATACATACTTGTATTAGTCTTTTCAGGAGAAGTTCTGATGATGATAAGGCAGGGTCTAAGAAAACTTCAGGCACTTTGGTGACAATCATTTCTATAATTCTCATCAAACATACAGCAATTTCAAAACAGGTGGCACAAATTTTTAGCTGTCTACTTTCCAGTATAACTAACTCTGGAGATGTCACTTTTTGTTGAATCTGAAAAAAGAATGTTCATTTTGTATTATGTTCAAACAAAGGTCAAAAAATAACTTGCGTAATAAAGGATATTAAGATCTTTAATATTATTATAGCTACACTCTTATAGATAAAATCAAATTAATTTGTAAATTCATATATATGTCTTTGTTTTTTTTGTTTTTTTTTTTTTTGGGGGGGGGGGGGGTTATGAACTGTATAACTGTTCCTGTTTCCCCCTTAAAATGAAAAAAAGATAGAAATATGGATTGTTTTATCATATGTTATTGTTTAATGTCTTGATATATTAATATGTAACAAAATAAATGTTGCAAAGTTGTTACAAAATATAAACAACTTTGTCACTCAATCCTTATGTGATCTGGATATTTTATTCCTTTTTTCAATAATTCTTGACAAAGACCCTTTAGGTCAAAATATTGGACTGTCATTTTCTTTTATTGTTTTGTGTTTTTTTGGTTGTGGTGTTTATCTTTTATATCAAGTGGTTGTACCTTAGACCTTTGACCTTTGATATTTAGTGGTTGTACCTTTGACCTTTGATATCTAGTGGTTGTACCTGTGATCATTCCTTTAATTTCTTTATTTCAATATTGACTTACTTCCTGCATCAGACCTATGAACTCTGAGAATGACCAGTTCAGTTGGTTCAGTATCATATCTAGAAATTTTGTGGCCCTTTCACCATCTTGAAGTAACAATTTTCTTATCAAATCTTGGAACACATAGGATGGCAGTGGTTCTGTAACCAAAATAAATAATCATTGCTGTGAAAATTTAACAAGTGCCTGCATTTAAAAAAAATTTTCAACTAAGGTTTGTCAATTGATTAAAAATCATATTATGCCATTGGTATATCATTTAACTGATGGTCTATGGAATGTACAATGCCAATACAAAAGTTGTAAAAGAGATGCGTGTATACTATGCCCAGCTTGTCTCACTTGTAATAATATGAATAAACTGTAATATTTTTGCCCTACTTATATATGTTGACTACTAGACATTTACGGAAAGTCTTGGTACAGACTGTTGTCACCGACTCTGACAGGTAAAATGAAGGGGGACGTCTCAAATTAATAAAAGATACTTAATAATCAGCTTTTCAATGTAAAATTAGCAAATAATAGTTTAACAAGATTTTACAAAAAGATTTATTTAATCAAATAAGGTTTGTCTTCTGTTTACGAATTATGCACAAGTCTCCACAATTTGTTCTAATTTTTTCTTGGGTGTCTCCACAAAGAACCCATCATTTCAAGAATTCTATATTCCACAATGATTCTATTAAATTTTCAACTCTTGTGTTTCTGTGATCAGGTTTTCTGTAGATTTGCTGTCGAGTAAACGGCATAATTACAGGATGTCGATTTGGATGAAATATATATGCATTAAAGGGTCCTAAGGAAGGCCGAATAATTGAAAGAATGATCTGAATTAATTGTTGTACAAACTTCGTTGAATCAGGAGGATTGAGATTTAAAACTGTAAAAATCTCAAGAAATATTTGTTTTCTAACAGGAACCATTGTTATCTACAACATAATTATAGAAATTAACTTTCGAATAGGTTAGCATACATGTACATGTCGTTTGGAACGAAATTCTGGAAACTCTCTCAACACCCCCCCTCTTTTTTTGTGAATCCAGAATTTAAATTAGGGGGTCAGCTACATTTGTTTGTTCTGAAATCTGAAAGGGGGATGGCACACTAGTTCCATTCTTATTTTATTTTGGTAAATTTATATTTGAAAATCGAATTGAGCTAACTGAAATATTAAATTGCCAGTTTGCTTTGTACTTTAGGAGTTACAAAATGTCTACCTAAAATATTGTTTATGTGAGCTTAATTTGTTTTTTTTTTTTTTTTAGTTTTCAGAGATTGGGAAATGACAATCGAGTGCACCCTTTTTCATTAAACTAAAATTTAACATTAGTTCCACGTGTTATCGGCATAAATCGTCAACATGAAAGACTGTGTTAAAATTTTCTGGTAAAAAGTCTTTTTTGTAATTTAGACAATTTGAAAGGAAACATATTAATATCTGTGCCACAATTATTTTATCTAAGCATTATTAGAAAATACTTATGAACTAAATGTGTAAAGCTTTTTGATGGAAAGATTGAGATGACAGAATTCATTTTATATCAAAGATAAGTTTATAAACATTTATATGTAACTATGGCATTATAGATAAAGGAAAAAACTCATTCAAAATAACGTATCTTGCTTCATATACATGTGTTTAAGCTTGACGAAAAATCGGATTGAAATGTGCTGTTACGAAAAATCTGGATTTAATTTTGATTCTTATTGTCGCTAGAACGATAGTATGCTCCGTTAATGGATTTCTTATAAATCAAGTGCGCCGCTAAATTAACTTTTGAGACGACCCCTGTAATTTTTGCCGTTAGAGTCGGAGTCAACAGTCGGAACCGAGACTTACCGTAAATCTCTAATAAGCAATATTGTAACAAACTGGTATCCACCAAATTATAAAGTGTATTTTGTCAGAAGAAATGATATAACAAATATATGCTACTTACTTTGTAGACTGGCAAATCCAAACTGAGCTGTTTGAACTTTAGACGGCACTAAGTGAGGTAAATGTGTAAATCTGAACCTAAATCCACATCCCTACAACATAACAAATATAATGTAAATAGAAATCTGAACCTAACTCCACATCCCTACAAAATAACAAATATAATGTAAATAGAAACCCACATTGCTACAACATAACAAATACAATATAAATAGAAATCTGAATCTAAATCTAAATCCACATCCCTACAACATAACAAATATATCATATTTAGATGAATCTGAACCTAAATCCACATCCCTAAAACATAACAAATATAATATCAATAGAAATCTGAACCTAAATCCATATTCCTACAACATAACAAATATATCATATTTAGATGAATTTGAACCTTAATCCACATCCCTACAACATAACAAATATATCATATTTAGATGAATCTAAACCCACATCCCTACAACATAACAAATATATCACATTTAGATGAATCTAAACCCACATCCCTACAACATAACAAATATATCATATTTAGATGAATCTGAACCTAAATCCACAACCCTACAACATAACAAATATATCATATTTAGATGAATCTAAACCTAAACCCACATCCCTACAACATAACAAATATATCATATTTAGATGAATCTGAACCTTAATCCACAACCCTACAACATAACAAATATATCATATTTAGATGAATCTAAACCCACATCCCTACAACATAACAAATATATCATATTTAGATGAATCTAAACCCACATCCCTACAACATAACAAATATATCATATTTAGATGAATCTGAACCTAAATCCACAACCCTACAACATAACAAATATATCATATTTAGATGAATCTGAACCTTAATCCACAACCCTACAACATAACAAATATATCATATTTAGATGAATCTGAACCTAAATCCACAACCCTACAACATAACAAATATATCATATTTAGATGAATCTGAACCTAAACCCACATCCCTACAACATAACAAATATATCATATTTAGATGAATCTGAACCTAAATCCACATCCCTACAACATAACAAATATATCATATTTAGATGAATCTAAACCTGCAGTATGAGACCATATAATGTCTGCAAAACAAAATGTCAGTAAGCATTTTGAACAGTCACATTACATTTTCTATGTAAACTCATTTTTCAAACTTCAAAGATTTTAAGGTTTGAATATTATTGATTGTTAGAAATGTGTATACAGATTAAAAAAATATCAATTAAATTGTCCTTGAAATTTCAATTGAAAAGATATGTGAGTTACTACTATGGGATAGCATGGATTGATTTTAGTGGCAAAAAATAATATGTTTTTTTCTTCACTGATCAAGCAGATGGTACTTTAATCACATAAATAAACTGACCTTCCATATTCTTACTAGAATCCAATTTGTCTGTGACAGAGATCTGTTCTCATGTGGAGTAATTAATGCCTCTATCATTTCTTTGGTTCTGAAATATATATTGAGGATAAGAGGTAAGTCTGAGGATAATGTTCAACTTCATGATAAAAGATGGTACATTGTGATTCTCATGCGTCACCTGTACTACTTCAAGGCAGAAAAAAAATCAAGAATATGTGTTCATAGGTCACAATTGACTGCTGGCATTATCATACATTTTTGTTTTGTATTTCCATGTTCATAGATGAGTACTGTTTTCACAGTATCACATTATTATGATTAGTGAACCTGGATATTGGGGGTAAAACCTTAATCTGGCACATAATTTAAACAAATCTTAATATAACGAACATATGTCCTCAACTTTCTGGCAAACTATTTAAACCAAAAAATTTAATCTGATATGGGAGGGAAAGACAGGCAGGATATACATGTCGAACGAAGCAGAAAACACAATGCATCCTGATATTGAAGGCAGGACATACAAACAGAACACTTAACATTTAACCAATACACAAAAGTAGGACCTAAAGTTTGTTGAAAAGAAAGTCTGGACCTCAACATTTTACAGATTAAGGGGAAATGTGGTAAAAACAACTCTAACTTTTGCCAAAACAGAATTGAATTGCATACATTTTTTTTAGTACAACAGTGTATTTGCTTATCCAAGCAAAACTTTAAAGCTGAAACTGAATTAATGGATAAAAAAGGATGGCCCATCATATCTTACTAGCAATTTTTGTTTTATTTCAGATAGAAATCCACACCCTCTGAGAAAAGGTGTTCAAGAAAGCCTTATACTACCTTAGCCAATAAAAAAATTGTTTCAAAATTCCTTTATGTATTCTGAACAATCCTTCTAGAACAATTTGCCTACATCTTTAAGGTGGATAGGGGTCTTCATTAATATCCATAGAATTTTTTAATAATTTGTCAAAATGTAGTTTATATCATGGTTTTTTCAAAAATGTAATAAAAAAGTATGGGTCACCGGGCTTTTTTTCACGCTACAGGTTTTGCAAAATTGTCAGATTTTATATAGATTATGCATGGAAAACACAACTTTGTGTGATAAAAAGAAAACTACGCAATAGAATTGTAAGATAAAATATGAGAAGATAGCTCTAATAATATGCTTTCAGATAAGAAAAAAGAAAAAAATGGGGTCACTGGACTTGTTTTCTTGCTACATAATAAAATAGGTTAGGTAAATTCACAACACATTCTATTATAAAAGTTACTTTATCTGAGTTATCTCCCCTTATGTGGCAAAATTAAAAAACTAGAGGCTCTAAAGAGCTTGTGTCGCTCACCTTGGTCTATGTGCATATTAAACAAGTACACAGATGGATTCATGACAAAATTGTGTTTTGGTGATGGTGATGAGTTTGTAGATCTTACTTTACTGAACATTCTTGCTCCTTACTATTATCTCTATCTATAATGAACTTGGCCCAGTAGTTACAGTGGAAAATATTTTGTAAAAATTTATAAAAATTTACAAAATTTATGAAAATTGTAAAAAAATGACTATAAAGGGCAATAACTTCTTAAGGGGTCAATTGACAATTTTGGTCATTTTGACTTATTTGTAGATCTTACTTTGCTGTTCATTATTGCTGTTTACAGTTTATCTCTATCTACAATAATATTCAAGATAATAACCAAAAACGGCAAAATTTCCTTAAAATTACCAATTCAGGGGCAGAACCCAACAACGGGTTGTCCGATTCATCTGAAAATTTCAGGGCAGATAGATCTTGACCTGATAAACAATTTTACCCCATGTCAGATTTGCTCTAAATGCTTTGGTTTCAGAGATATAAGCCAAAATCTACATTTTACCCCTATGTTCTATTTTTAGCCATGGCGGCCATCTTGGTTGGTTGGCGGGGTCAACGGACACATTTTTTAAACTAGATACCCCAATGATGATTGTGGCCAAGTTTGGTTTAATTTGGCCCAGTAGTTTCAGAGGAGAAGATTTTTGTAAAAGTTAACGACGACGGAGACGACAACGACGACGAAGACGACGGACGACAAGTGATGAGAAAAGCTCACTTGGCCCTTTGGGCCAGGTGAGCTAAAAATGAATCAAAGAAAAATATTCTGTTTATTGTAAAATACAGCCGTAAATATGATAAAACAAATAATTTTCTATAGTTACACAAAAAGTCTTACACATGAATTACATACTACTCTCTAAATTTACAAATTTCATTAAAGAAATAGACCGATTGTTATTTGCTATTTCAAAATCCAAGATGGAGGAAGACACCCCAGCTACCTTATGGTAAAAATTATTTAAATGCCCAAAAAGGTGCAAGCCAGGGCCGACCAAGCGAGGGCTTTATAGCTAGTCAAGATCGTTAAAAACCCCCACAAGTAAGCTACCTTAAGAAATGATCCAAATGTTAATAATTTCAAATACAAAATAACTGATCACTTATTAAAATAAATCAGTTGACAACAATGTTAAATATATTTTGTGTAACATTTAATGCAGTTGTACTATATATTTAGGTCTTTCCACTTTTCCGTGGAAAGACCTATTGCTTTTGTTCTGATTATTATTATTATTATTATTTTATTTTTTTTCTTCCGCCTAATTTTTTTCTTGCGTAGTATTGTTGTTTCATAAGATGTCGCTTAGATATTTGGTATATGATATCGAACAGTTTATACGCTTTTGAAACTGACAACCGCTTAACCGAATACTTTACGTTGTAAGAGTTATCTCCCCAAACACTGTTTTTCTTGTGGCCGCTACTCCTTCGCAACCGTAAAAGATTACGACAAATTTATTTTACCAAATTGCTCGCTATATCTTCAGGATGTTGAGTTTGGTTTTCACCGAAGCGTTCCGGAGACTCCATATGAGAGTTATTTCCCCTTATGTATTTGATATAAGTGATATGCATTTCTATCTGGTAAACCATATGTGATAGAGACCTAGGGTCTTTTGATTTAAGGTCCTTGGTCCAAAAAAAAGAAAATTTGGTCAAGGTCAAAGGTCAAGGTCATATTCTAAATTTTGATTTTGGCTTATTTTCACTTCTTTTCAAAAACAGTATAAGTTATCGACAACATATCATTACTAAATTGTTAGTTGCGACATGTCGTAACACATACATTTTGGTTTAAAGGGTGCGCTAACATTAAATTAGAGTTTTCTCCCCTCTTGTATTTAAAAATACGCGTATGGTGATATAATTCATTAACCATATATAACTAAGACCTAGGGTCTTTTGATTTGAGGTCCTTGGTTTATGACTTTGAAATTGAGCTCAAGGTCATAGGTAAATTTGACGTTCTAGATTTTGACCTTTGCTTTTACCTCATATGTATACATGATAAAGCCATGGGACTTTTTGCATTAGGTTGCAAGCCATTTGACCTTGAAAAATCCAACCGGAAGTGACCTTGTGTAAACTGGAAGTAGCTATTTTTTCTACTTATTTAATATAAAAGTATTTAGAACCATATATTTTTGGAATCAGTGTCAAGTAAACATTCAAATTATACCGGAAGTAACATTTTTCAAACCGGAAGTAACAAATCATCTCCCTTATTTAAAACAAAATGTATAGAAACCATATATTTTTGGAATCAGCGTACAATAAGCTATCATTTGACGCTGGAAATGACATTTTAAACCGAATTTTAATATTTTTATATCAAAATAGATCTTTATGGGTGGAAAGACCTTCAATTGTTCTCTGAACAATTGGTTTTTAATTTTATAAATGTTTTACTTTTCATTTATGTACAAATTGTAAGACTTGTACATGTATACACTTTTTGTTTTACAAAAAGGTTTATATTTGAAAGCCTCAGACCATTAGTTGTGTAACTAATTGTGTATAACGCTCTTAAAATGAAGTATTGTTGTTCATGTTGTTTTTAATCTGGTCAAGGTGATCAGTTTCAAAATGTACAATACTTGAAACTTACTTTTCTTCTGGAAGGCTTTCTAGAACTTTGAGAGACTCCGGATAACATATAAAGCATGCTAAGGCTTGTACCACTTCTTCTCTCACATCTATAAAATACAAAGCTGGTTTATACAAGGAATAAATAAATGTGGATAGTGTCCACATGTGGACACAGATGATGCCCCCGCTTGCATATCATATAGTTATAAAGGGACATAACTGAAGAACGGTAAAAGTGACGCAACCCAAATTTGAACTTGATCTGAGTTTTGTGGTAATAAGCATTGTGTTTAAGTTTCATAACATTTCATAGCAATTTTTCTATTTGTAAACACGCATGACTCTAGAACAGTTGTGTATATGTTTTATAACATTTGGTTGAGACAAACTAAAAAATTCAGCAATTTTTATGTTTATAAAGGGACATAACTCAAGAATGGTAAAAGTGTCGGCACCTTATTTCGTACTTAATCTGTATTATGTAGTAATATGCATTGTGTATAAGTTTCATAACATTTGGTTGAGGCAAACTAAAGTTAGAAAAAGGAAACAAAAAATTTGTACTTGATCTTTGTTTTGTGGTAATGAATATTGTGTATAGGTTTCATAATGTTTGGTTGGGGCAAACTTAAGTTACAGAATGGAAACTAAAAATTTTGCAATCTTTCCATTTATAAAGGGGCATAACTCAATAATGGTTAAAGTGACACTACCCAAATTCAACTAGATCTGTGTTTTATCAGTGGAGGTCAAAATTAAACATTGCATTGTATAAAGCATTGATTGTAGTTGATTCAAATATAATCATGGACAAAGGAAGATAACTCCAATTTTAAAAATAACTTGATATTAAGAAGAAAATAAAAATTTTGCAATTTTTCCTTTTATAAAGGGGCATAACTCTAGAACAGTTAAAGTGACGCCACCAAAATTCAAACTTGATCTGTGTTTTGTGGTAATAAGCATTGTGTATAAGTTTCATAACATTTGGTTGAGGCAAACTTAAGTTAGAGAACGGAAACTAAAAATTTTGCAATTTTTCCATTTATAAAGGGGCATAACTCTAGAACAATTAAAGTGACGCCACCAAAATTCAAACTTGATCTGTGTTTTGTGGTAATAAGCATTGTGTATAAGTTTCATAACATTTGGTTGAGGCAAACTTATGTTAGAGAACGGAAACTAAAAATTTTGCAATTTTTCCATTTATAAAGGGGCATAACTCTAGAACGGTTAGAGTGACGCCACCACATACGGACGGACGTAAGTACGTACAGACAGACAAGGGTAAAACTTAATGCCCCCACCGCTACGGCGGGGGCATAAAAATACTGGAATCAATTGACAATATATTGTGTGACTCCTGATAAAATCTTCTATGGTGTACAACTGCAATCCTTGCAAAATAGAAGTTTGGCTGAAATTCGTTCAAATACTATAAATATTTCAATTTTTGAAATGCGTATTTCATCTGTCTTAATCTCTAACTTCAAACACGATAAGAAATTTCACATGCAGGAGACCTTTTATGATTTGCCTTACAGTGTTGGTCTGTATTTCTATGGTAAATAAATCTTACCTGGATTTAATATTCGATGATCAGAAAAATGTCTTGTTATAAATAAAGCATAGTTATGGAGGGTTTCGTTGTAATCTGTAGAAGAAAAGAAATGTTAATTTAGATAGTATATACATAATAGAAATGAAAAGTTATGGTGAATCAATTGATGACAATAAATCACTACAAAGTGAGGTCCTACAACATGGACCAAATACTCACCTCACTACAAGTGCAAGATCTTGACTATCTTTTTTAAAGATACATGCATATGTTATAGAAATAAAACTGTCAGATTGATCTTGTGTTATGTATTCAAACTTAAAATTGCATACCAAATATTTATCTACTTCCATTAATATTAACCAAAATACAAAAATACAAAAATGAAGCACTATAACCTAAACTTGAAGTAAACAGATCCCTCAGTGGAGCTATATAAAATTCTATTTATGTTCTAATCAAATAAAACATAATGTCGTCATATAAAATCAAACAGTTTAAATTTTCCAAAATGAAATTTGTGGCATATTACTGTTCCCTATATAAGACCTTAATTATGTCCTAAATTTTATATACATCAATGTATAAGATATGTATTCTGTAAACCAACTAATTTTTGGAACTCTAGTGAATAGAAAAATAAGGCAAATTTGTCAAACGTGTATTATCTCTGTATGAATCTATCAACAACAACAAAACAGTCATGAGGTCAGCAAAAAAAAAGCTTTAAGCAAAAAATTAATCTTCTAAAATAAGTTTTTTTACAATAGTTAATATCTTCTTACTATCAAGAGATTCAAAAGGCACAGTTGGATGGAAGAAGTTAAACAAGGCGTTAAAGGCATTGATAGCTGTCAGTATGTAGTATTCTGGTACATATTGGAACAATAGTTTATAGCCAGCTGCTCTCTTTATTGTCTGTAGTACCACCTTCAATAACCATTCTATATCACTACGCTTTGTCTGAAAAAAATTGTTAAATTTTACAAATAAGGTCAAAGAAATAGTAAAATTTAATATACTAGTGGTCATTATTTTGGGAAAAGCACCAAAACAAATGAGGGAGTTTCAAAATATTAATATTTATGCTGATTATGATGTTAATTGCTAAATAATGATTTTATTGATGAGTGATTTCTATCTTGCAACAATAATTCTAAAATGCTTCTTCAAATGTTGATGTGAATGTAAAATTATTCAATACGAACCATTCTTAATTGGTGATTTTTCATAAAAGGCAATGCTTTGAAGCAGAAAATAAACCTTTCTTTTGAGAAATAATTTAACAAAAAGAAAACTATTTTTCAACATGTGTTGCTGTGCTAAGCATACCACTACTTGTTATTCAAAGTATAGGAAAACAGGGAGTAGGTATCTGACAGACCCAAAAAGTGTTCACGCATTGAAACTTATCACCGATAAGCTTTTGACTAAATCTGAAGTTATACTCTTCTGCAGTACTTGAGAAGAGCGTGAGGGAAATATTTGTTGGACAAATGGACAGACAGGGTTAATGTTATATAGCCCCAAATATTAGATAATTTACCTTAGAATATGTAACTGCTGTAACCCAGGCCATTTTTCTTGATTGTTCTTCTATCTTATTGTGAAAGACTTTATAAGCTCTGTTTAATTCTTCTCTAATTCCAGCATCCTACAAGTCAACAATAACAATATACAAATCTGTAAACAAAAGTTTCATTAATTTTCTCAACATAAAACACTTTGCAGAAATACCTAAAATAAGAATCTGTCCATAGTACACGGATGCCCCACTCGCACTATCATTTTCTATGTTCAGTGGACCATTAAATTGGGATCAAAACTCTAATTTGGCATTAATTATTAGAAAGATCATACCATAGGGAACATGTGTATTAAGTTTCAAGTTGATTGGACTTCAACTTCATCAAAAACTACCTTGACCAAAAACTTTAACTAAAAACTCTAACCAAAAACTTTAACCTGAAGCAGGAACAAATGAATGGACGCACAGACCCAAAAAAATAATGCCTATAAATGGGGCATAAAAATACTTATTCTTATGTGGATTTAATTAAAAATAAATTGTCCATTCCACAACCCATAGAAAAGGTGATGTCCATTCCACAACCCATAGAAAAGGTGATGTCCATTCCACAACCCATAGAAAAGGTGAATGGCCTGGAACATTGTCCATTCCACAACCCATAGAATAGGTGAATGGTTGTCCATTCCACAACCCATAGAAAAGGTGAATGGTTGTCCATTCCATAACCCATAGAAAAGGTGAATGGTTGTCCATTCCACAACCCATAGAATAGGTGAATGGTTGTCCATTCCATAACCCATAGAATAGGTGAATGGTTGTCCATTCCACAACCCATAGAATAGGTGAAAGGTTGTCCATTCCATAACCCATAGAAAAGGTGAATGGTTGTCCATTCCACAACCCATAGAATAGGTGAATGGCCTGGAACATTGTCCATTTCACAACCCATAGAATAGGTGAATGGTTGTCCATTCCACAACCCATAGAATAGGTGAATGGTTGTCCATTCCATAACCCATAGAAAAGGTGAATGGTTGTCCATTCAACAACCCATAGAAAAGGTGAATGGTTGTCCATTCCATAACCGATAGAAAAGGTGAATGGTTGTCCATTCCACAACCCATAGAATAGGTGAATGGTTGTCCATTCCATAACCCATAGAATAGGTGAATGGTTGTCCATTCCATAACCCATAGAAAAGGTGAATGGTTGTCCATTCCACAACCCATAGAATAGGTGAATGGCCTGGAACATTGTCCATTTCACAACCCATAGAATAGGTGAATGGTTGTCCATTCCACAACCCATAGAATAGGTGAATGGTTGTCCATTCCACAACCCATAGAATAGGTGAATGGTTGTCCATTCCATAACCCATAAAAAAGGTGAATGGTTGTCCATTCCACAACCCATAGAAAAGGTGAATGGTTGTCCATTCCACAACCCATAGAATAGGTGAATGGTTGTCCATTCCACAACCCATAGAATAGGTGAATGGTTGTCCATTCCATAACCCATAGAATAGGTGAATGGTTGTCCATTCCACAACCCATAGAATAGGTGAATGGTTGTCCATTCCACAACCCATAGAATAGGTGAATGGTTGTCCATTCCACAACCCATAGAAAAGGTGAATGGTTGTCCATTCCACAACCCATAGAATAGGTGAATGGTTGTCCATTCCACAACCCATAGAATAGGTGAATGGTTGTCCATTCCACAACCCATAGAATAGGTGAATGGTTGTCCATTCCCCAACCCATAGAAAAGGTGAATGGTTGTCCATTCCACAACCCATAGAATAGGTGAATGGTTGTCCATTCCATAACCCATAGAAAAGGTGAATGGTTGTCCATTCCACAACCCATAGAATAGGTGAATGGCCTGGAACATTGTTCATTTCACAACCCATAGAATAGGTGAATGGTTGTCCATTCCACAACCCACAGAATAGGTGAATGGTTGTCCATTCCATAACCCATAGAAAAGGTGAATGGTTGTCCATTCCACAACCCATAGAAAAGGTGAATGGTTGTCCATTCCATAACCGATAGAAAAGGTGAATGGTTGTCCATTCCACAACCCATAGAAAAGGTGAATGGTTGTCCATTCCATAACCCATAGAAAAGGTGAATGGTTGTCCATTCCACAACCCATAGAATAGGTGAATGGTTGTCCATTCCATAACCCATAGAATAGGTGAATGGTTGTCCATTCCACAACCCATAGAATAGGTGAATGGTTGTCCATTCCATAACCCATAGAAAAGGTGAATGGTTGTCCATTCCACAACCCATACAATAGGTGAATGGCCTGGAACATTGTCCATTTCACAACCCATAGAATAGGTGAATGGTTGTCCATTCCACAACCCATAGAATAGGTGATTGGTTGTCCATTCCATAACCCATAGAAAAGGTGAATGGTTGTCCATTCCACAACCCATAGAAAAGGTGAATGGTTGTCCATTCCATAACCGATAGAAAAGGTGAATGGTTGTCCATTCCACAACCCATAGAATAGGTGAATGGTTGTCAATTCCATAACCCATAGAATAGGTGAATGGTTGTCCATTCCATAACCCATAGAAAAGGTGAATGGTTGTCCATTCCACAACCCATAGAATAGGTGAATGGCCTGGAACATTGTCCATTTCACAACCCATAGAATAGGTGAATGGTTGTCCATTCCACAACCCATAGAATAGGTGAATGGTTGTCCATTCCACAACCCATAGAATAGGTGAATGGTTGTCCATTCCATAACCCATAAAAAAGGTGAATGGTTGTCCATTCCACAACCCATAGAAAAGGTGAATGGTTGTCCATTCCACAACCCATAGAATAGGTGAATGGTTGTCCATTCCACAACCCATAGAATAGGTGAATGGTTGTCCATTCCATAACCCATAGAATAGGTGAATGGTTGTCCATTCCACAACCCATAGAATAGGTGAATGGTTGTCCATTCCACAACCCATAGAATAGGTGAATGGTTGTCCATTCCACAACCCATAGAAAAGGTGAATGGTTGTCCATTCCACAACCCATAGAATAGGTGAATGGTTGTCCATTCCACAACCCATAGAATAGGTGAATGGTTGTCCATTCCACAACCCATAGAATAGGTGAATGGTTGTCCATTCCACAACCCATAGAATAGGTGAATGGTTGTCCATTCCCCAACCCATAGAATAGGTGAATGGTTGTCCATTCCATAACCCATAGAATAGGTGAATGGTTTTCCATTTCATAACCCATAGAATAGGTGATGTCCATTCCAAAACCCACAAACTAGGTGATGTTCATTCCACAACCCATAGAATAGGTGAATGGTTGTCCATTCCACAACCCATAGAATATGTGAATGGTTGTCCATTCCACAACCCACAGAATAGGTGATGTCCATTCCACAACCAATAGAATAGGTGAATGCTTGTCCATTCCACAACCCATAGAATAGGTGAATGGTTGTCCATTCCATAACCCATAGCATAGGTGATGTCCATTCCAAAACCCATAGACTAGGTGAATGGTTGTCCATTCCACAACCCATAGAATAGGTGAATGGTTGTCCATTCCACAACCCATAGAATAGGTGAATGGTTGTCCATTCCAAAACCCACAGAATAGGTGATGTCCATTCCACAACCCATAGAATAGGTGAATGATTGTCCATTCCACAACCCATAGAATAGGTGAATAGTTGTTCATTCCACAACCCATAGAATAGGTGAATGGTTGTCCATTTCACAACCCATAGAATAGGTGATGTCCATTCCACATCCCATAGAATTGATGAATGGTTGTCCATTCCACAACCCATAGAATAAGTGAATTGTTGTCCATTCCACAACCCATAGAATAGGTGACTTCCATTCCAAAACCCATAGAACAGGTGAATGGTTGTCCATTCCACAACCCATAGAATAGGTGATGTCCATTCCACAACCAATAGAATAGGTGAATGGTTGTCCATTCCATAACCCATAGAAAAGGTGATGTCCATTCCACAACCCACAAAATAGATGATGTCCATTCCACAACCCATAGAATAGGTGATGTCCATTCCACATCCCATAGAATACTGTAAATTCAGAAATTATTGTGTGCATTTATTATTGCGATTTTGTCATTTTTGATTAAAATACGATTTTAATTTTTGTGATTTTGAGAAAAATCCTGTTTAATTCATATACAAAATTTCAAAATGCAAGTTTAAATTATTGCGTTTATAACCCTGTCGCATTTTCGCAATAATAAAAACATCGCAATAATTTCTGAATTTACAGTAGGTGAATGGTTGTCCATTCCACAACCCATAGAATAGGTGATGTCCATTCCACAACTCATAGAATAGGTGAAAGGCCTGGAACATTGTCCATTCCACAACCCATAGAAGAGGTGAATGGTTGTCCATTCCACAACCCATAGAAAAGGTGATGTCCATTCAACAACCCACAGAATAGGTGATGTCCATTCCACAACCCATAAAATAGGTGATGTCCATTCCACAACCCATAGAATAGGTGATGTCCATTCCACAACCCATAAAATAGGTGATGTCCATTCCACAACCCATAGAATAGGTGATGTCCATTCCACAACCTATAGAATAGGTGATGTCCATTCCACAACCCATAGAATAGGGGAATTGTTGTCCATTCCACAACCCATAGAATAGGTGGTGTCTATTCCACAACCCAAAGAATAGGTGACTGGTTGTCCATTCCACAACCCATAGAAAAGGTGATGTCCATTCCACAACCCAAGAATAGGTGATGTCCATTCCACAACCCATAGAATATGTGAATGACCTGGAACACTGTCCATTCCACAACCCATAGAATAGGTGAATGACCTGGAACATTGTCCATTCAACAACCACATAATAGGTGAACGGTTGTCCATTCCACAACCCATAGAATAGGTGATGTCCATTCCACAACCCATAGAATAGATGATGTCCATTCCACAACCCATAGAATAGGTGATGTCCATTCCACAACCCATAGAATAGGTGATGTCCATTCCACAACCCATAGAGTAGGTGAATGGTTGTCTATTCCACAACCCATAGAATAGGTGAATGGTTGTCTATTCCACAACCCATAAAATAGGTGA